GAAATGGAAAGACTTGGAAAAAATTATATTAAGTGAAGTAAGCCAGTCGCAAAGAAACATAGGTCCCATGGTTTCCCTTATTTGCAATAACTAGTATATGTCTGAGTCAAGCAGAAAAGGTCAGATAAATTGATGTTAGGGGAATTAATCCCAAGATAAGTACTCAAATGTTTTTTTTTCTTTCATGCAACTGTTTCTAACGTATTTATAAGATGATTTCTATGTTGCTTTGTATGTCCCTCCCCCATGGTATAACCCCTGCTTTCACTGTATTTGATGTTGATATAATTTGTGGAGGGGAAGGGCAAAAACAAATCATTTAACTAGGGATACAGGTGGACCCATTGCAACAATGAGATGTACAAATTGTTATGTCGAAAAACAAACTTTACAACTTTGGTGGAGGCCGGGAGGCTCGGATGAAGGGAGGTGGGGGAGGTGGGGGGAGTATGAGATGGGATGGGAAGGGGAAACAGAGGAGGCAACAATACCTGATAAGAAATGTACTTGTTATCTTGCCCATGTAATTGTAACTCCTCTGTACAGTACTCTCACAATAAAATAAAATTTAAAAAAAAAGAATATTTTTCTACCCAACTTGACAATCTGTAGTTGTCATTCTCTGTTAGTTGATTTTTCATTAAAGTCTCATGTATTAATGCTTCTGAAAGCATAAGGAATAAAACAGTATGTAAACGTATCCCAGTCTGTGAATCCATTTGGAGGCAATTTTATCTTGAAAAACACAACAACATTTTATAGGATTAAGCGTATTCTGCTTTAAAGGGACTGAAGTCTGTGGGCAATTTAAAATTTTTCACTAAAAAGAAGCCTTTGAGCTCATTGACACTTGGTAAAATGTTTTTAAAATGAGCTCATCCAGATCCCTGCAGGAAAATTCAGTAGTCTGAAATGTGATCTTTGTTGCTTCAAGGAAGCAGAGGTGTGGAAGGAAGGAGGTAACTGCTGGCCATTTCTGCCTTGTGCCCCATAATTCACACCCTTCCCCTCAAGTTCCTTACACAGATACCTTCCCCATGCTGTTTTTTCTGTAATCTTTCCTTGATGGACTAGTGACACCTGCCAAGTGTCTAGTATGTTCTTTGAACTTCCATGGCATAGCCTAGCTTGCAGATGCTTGATATAGGGCCACAGAATCACCCCATCCTCCTGTAGCCCAGGGTAGTGACCCCTGGTTCCATGTTCATTAATGGTGATAAAGGCATTAGTGGGTATTTTCCTAATTAGCCATTAGTGACAGCTAACACTGTAATGAGATCACTATTTCTGAATTGGGAACATGATGTTCTTGACACTGTAATCTAGTGAAAAATGGGAACGGGCTCCTGTTTTTATGGAAGACATTTCTTAGGGATAGAATTACTGCCACTCATGCCAGATACACTTTTCCCTTCCTTTTATTCTAATTTATTTGTTTAAACGATGTGGTATTCTAGTGGGGAAAAACTTCTGGCATTAGAGAATGTGTTACAGTAATTTCTAACTAGATAAAGTGTTCTTGAAGTATCTCAAGCCTAGTAGGAAGAAATCTTATTGCTTCTGTTTTAACAAAAGCTTTTTTATAATAGCTGCCATAGATGCTCAGATCAGTCAATGCAAGCAGATCAATTTTCTTGGGTCTTTAAGTGTTTAAGCCGGCACCTGCCCTTTGCAGTGTCTCCTGGTTGTAGGTAATAGCTGGGAGTTTCAGGTGAAGGATTACAACTTCTCAGTTGGCTTTGCCAGCCGGAATGATCCATTGGCTGCGGTTGAAAATGCTTGTTTGAAAATATATTCATGGGATTAGGAATGAACACGTCTTGACTGAAATCTTGTGGTTTAACTTTAGTATTTACTATAGTCAGTCCATGCCTTTGAAATATTGAGCTGGCTGACAACTTAAAATCCTAAGTTTCCTTTAAACTTGAGCCCGGATTTAGAGGAAGAAGGGGTAGTGTGGGGTGGGTTTATGTTAAGGCTGTCCAAGGAGAATTTACAGAAGTGTGTTTGACGGGAGGGCACTGGGAACTCGGGCAAGCCAACCCCTCTGCTCTATCCTCCATGGGCTTTGCCCTCAGCCCAGATCCACACTTAGTCCTATAACTGACGTTGCCCACAGCCATAGAAGTCTGTTGTGGCACCTTGTTAAGATCATTGCTTTTCTTTTGTGGAGAAGCATGGCAAAAACCCAAGGGAAATGCCCAGACCTTGTTAAGCCAGACAGATATCACAAGAAGCCTAGGTTGTCTTATTCTCTAATTCCCACTTAGATGTGTATTTCTCATCTTAGCTGGAGAACTGATTTTTATAAGCATGTCTTAACAAGATCAACCCTCACCTAACAAGATTCCTTTCTTTGTAGTTGGGCCTCACAATGTATGAAGACTATGCAAAGAGAACCAAAGCAGTGCAGAGTCACCCTCTGCATTATGTGCCCAAATGGGCACGGAGGTCTACAGCCCAGAAATCTGGGTTTAGTTGCTGGATCACTGTGACTTAGGGCCCATCCTGTACTTTCTACCTTCCCTATGCTTCCATCTTACCCTCATGCTTTCGTCTTTCTCCACACATCTGTTCATCTTCCCCTGTGTTTCTGTCTTCACCCATGCTTCTATCTGTCTTTCTTGGTGCTTCTACCTTCTGGCATATGGTGGGGATGGGGTGGGGTGAGTGGGAGTGGGAGTGGAGGTGGGGTGGGTGGAGGTAGGTGGAGGTGGGGTAGGAGTGGAGGTGGGTCCTCAGACAGGCTCTAAGAAGAGTGTAGCCAGTGTTTCAGTCCTGCCTTAGAGCTACAGAACCTTCTCTACACACAGATCTTAATATAACTGCATCCTATCAGTAGGCTTTTTTGAACTTAAAATGTGCTTGTAAAAGGCAATGAGAAAACTGATATGCTAGTTTAAGTATTTTTTTAAGGACTGAGCTTTGAAAACATCTTGACTACAAAGCCCAGAGGTGGTGAAGCTAACGTTACATCTGGGGACTCTAGGGTGAAGCGATGACAGAATAGACACAGGTGTGCAAGATACAGGGCGGTAGTAGACTGCAATAAAATCCTCTGTCAGCTCCATAACTCATGCCTGGAATCCTGCCTGCTGAGCAGGCTGAGGTCTGAGGATCGTGGTTCAGAGCTAGCCTGAGCAGAAAAATTCATCAGACTGTTGGTACCAATTTTTTGACCGGAAATAGAGCTATGGATCAAGTGGTAGAGTGCTAGCCTTGAGAAAAAAAATCTCAAGGAGAGCATCCAAGCCCCAATTCCAAGCCCCACTACTGGTACACACACACACACACACACACACACACACACATGCATGCACACACACATGCACACACACCCACACACACCCTCTTTTGTCTGTTCTCAGTATAAAGATTAACATTTTTTATTCCATAATAATAAAAACCCCTCAGACAGCTGTAGTTGAATTAGTTCAGAAGCAGTAAAGTTCATGTGAACTCACCAGAAGACCAAGACTTCTGGGCTGGACACAAAATCACCTTAGACCCTTTCTGAGCTTACTGCAGAAGACATCGTGGGGTAGAAAGGGACAGAAATGCACTTGAGGGCATAAAGCAGTGCTTGGTCTGGGGCCAGAGGAGGGGAGGCCCCTGGCTGGCTGGGCACAGTGAGGTCTGACATGGGCAATAAGGAGCAAGTTGAAGGGACAGAGAATGCCCATTCAGACTCGCCATCTACTCATCACAGGCCCATTTCCCTGCTCAGCTCCCAAGCTCTAGAAGACCTGCAGGCCAAAATTTGCTAAGTACTGTCTCTTCTGGTCCTTGGTAGTTCCATCTCTGAGCCTAGAAAAATGTTCGCCTGCTCTTGTTTGCTCCCTAAAAGGAGAGCTGGCTTTACTTCCTTCCTTTTCTTGCCTCTGGCCCATCTGGAGGGCTCCCCTTTCCTTGCCACCATACCACTTGTGCTCCAACTTTTCAGAACTCAAGCTGCAAAAGCCACCACTCTTCCCCGGAGCATCCCTGGCTGCTCTTTGATTTTGCTTTCACTGGTTTCTTGTATTGCTATGTTTGTTTTCACTGGAGTGGCACCTCACGTGGGGCTTTGTACACTTACAAACATCTTGGAAAACATGATTAGTGACTGTGTCATACACTCATGATCCACATATAGTTGCCAGTACACTGATGATTTCAATATTGTGTTAAATCTTTTTTGTTGTTCTCTCTTAAAGAAAAATCAGAAATGGCCAAGTATATAGAAACCACTAGAATTTAAACTCATTCTCCCCTTCCCAGTTCTCTTCCTATCTCTAATCCTTGGTACTGGCCCAGCTAAGGAAATGAATAAATATTTGCAGCACATGTTCTAGGGTAACTTACTTAGGCTGTAGGCATTATTTGGTCCTTTTAGGGAATGCAGGAGTTTGAACTCAGCACCTTGCTAGACTGGCACAGTACCACTGTGTCATGCCTCCAGCTTTGCTTTTTACTGATTTTTGTAGGGTAGGATCTCATTTCCCACCCAGACACTCCTGAACTACCATTGCCTGTATTTTTTTAACTTTTTAAGTTTTTTAATTGGTATTATAAAGCTAATGTACAGAGTGGTTATAACTATATAAGTCAAGTAAAGAGTACATCATTGCCTGCTTTGTATGCTTCTGTTTTTTTCTGGGATCAGAGGCCTGGGCCTCTGTGTCCAACTTCTGTAGGTGGAAATGGATTCTTACAGGTTGCGTTCCGTGCCCAGGCCCATGGATTGCATTCTGTGCCCAGGCCCATGGGTTGCATTCTGTGGCCTGGCCCATGGATTGTGTTCTGCAGCCTAGCCTGTGGATTATGTTCTGTGCCCTGGCCTGTGGCTTGCATTTTGTGCCCGGGTCCACGGATTTCTCACCCTGCCCACATGCTGCTGTCTGTGGCAGCTTGCCTCACCCTGCTCAGAACTGCTCACTTGACAGGCTTAGAGATCATGGGCCAGGAGACATGCGTGTGAGGATGCCACTGACTTTGTCCTTTTTGTTCTTTCCCTTTAGCTCAAACCAGGACAGAACAGCTGCAGGGACAGCGACAGCGAGAGTGGCAGCGGGGACTCCAAGGGCTTCCACCGGAGCAGCTCCCGGGAGAGGCTCAGCGACGTGAGTACTGGGCATGCATAGCCCTGACTCAGGCCTGGCCTGGCACTGTGCAGCATCACCCCTCCAAGCAGTGTCCACTGCAGCCCAGCACTGTAATGTACTCCTTCACCTCCACGCAGGCCTGGCTTTCACAATGCCCCATCCCTGCAGAGCACTTTGTGGCGTGCACTTGAACCTTGCAGTTATAATGGCATTCCAAAATATAATTTGACTCAAGACCTACTACTTTCACAAATTAGGATATAGCTAGGAGTAATTGTTACTTTAGAAGCACTAGATTGTAAAAGGAAGTGATTATATTCTGTTAGTGTTAGAAATGAGAATGAATCCATGGCACTGAGGTGGCACCACTCAGCTGCTTCTCAGATGTCATGAGACATCTCACATGTCTGCTTTCAGCTCTGCTGTCGGACATTTCTTCCAGTTCTTCTGTCACTCTAAGTGGGAGAGGATATCTGGTCCCTTTTAGTCTAACTTACCTATTACTGATTTTGTAACTGAGATTTAAAAAAATTTCCATCAAAGTGGAAATGAGGGTTTTTCTTCATTGTTGCTTTGCTTTTCCTTTTGTCTTGTTTGTTCATTTGTCTGTCTTAGGTAGGCTAAGGGGTGCACCCTTGGAGGGACCAAGGGTAAACAAATGCAGCAGTGGTACTCACTAGACACTATGCAGAAAATGAACTATACAACTTGTTGGTTGGGCCAGGAAGGAAAAACTAGGAGAGAACAAGGGAAGGGGTGACATTGTCCAAAAAGAAATTTACTTATAACCTGACTTACATAACTGTAGCTCCTCTGTATAGAACCTCTATAACAGTAATTTTTATAAATTGCCATCAAAACAAGCGTGATGGTTCACACCTGAAATTCCGGCTACTTGGGAGGCTGAGATCAGGAGAATCACAGTTTGAGACCAGCCCAAGTAGAAAAGTTTTTAGTTTCCATCTCAGCAAAAGACACTGGGCATAGTGACACATGCCTGTCATCCCAGGCAAGTAGGAAGCCTAAAATAGGCAAATTGCAGTCCAGATGTAATGAGGCAAAGGCAAGGCCTTCTCTAAAAAATAACCAGCATGGTGCTGGGAAGGTGGCTCAGTGGTAGAGCGCTTGCCTTGCATGCCTGAGGCCCTGGATTCGATTCCTCAGCACCACATAAGCAAAAAGAAAAAAGCTAGAAGTGACGCTGTGGCTCAAGTGGTAGAGCGCTAGCCTTGAGCTGAAGAGCTGAGGGACAGAGCCCAGGCCCAGAGTTCAGGCCCCACAACCGGACCCAAAATAAAAAATAAAAAAATAACCAGCATGAAAAGAACTGGAGATGTAGTTCAGTGAAAGAGTGCCCGCCTAGCACGGGGAGGCCAGGAGTGCCCAACTTCCTTCCCTCCAGTGCCATCAGTCTTGGCTGTTTTCAATGATATATTCAAATCTTTTGTAATTGGTATTCTCAAAATGAGACTAATCAAGGTACTGTATTACTAAAGTTTGGGTTTTTGTACCTGTCAGATAAAAAGAATAAGAAAAAATTCTGGTTATAGTTGGATAAAGCCTGTAAAATATAAAGCCACAGGGGTTGGATGTTCTAAACTATGTCTTCCCAACATAGTGCCAGAGGGAAGAAATTCACAAGGCCTTTCAGTTGTTCATTTCAAGGATGTAGTAACTTACTTAGTCACTAAGGAGAAACTTCAGAGAAATCACTGGCTATATAAATATTCATGAAGTATTACTTAACGGAGCAGATACTACTTCTGACTTAAGCAGATGTTTATAGTTGAGGAAGTTGTCAAAACTTAGGGGTTAAACTTACTGAAAAACAATGAACTCAAAACCTTTAGTTATGAATTGATTGTGAGCATTTGTAGCAAACTCAAGACCCTCTCTCCAAGTATGATCACTGTGTTGGTCTGGCTTCCCCAGAGAAACTCAACGCAACCCATCTGAGGCAGGAGAGACACAGAGAGACTGTGTGAGGGAGACTAGCTCTGCCATGCGCAGAGCTGGAGAAATCCCATATGTACAGGGGTGAGCTGGAGACCCAGTATGGCTCATGGTGCATCTCTGGTCTGAAGCCTAGCTGGCATGTAGTCCCTGAAAGGGATTTCTTTGTCTCTGAAGGCAGAGAAAGAACCAACAATCCAGATGTCCTGGGCAGAAAGACTGTAGGAATTCCCTCTAGCCCTTTGGTCTCCTTAGGCCTGCAGGAGAGATAGGTACTGCCCGCCCTGGGGAGCCCACTGCTTCACTCCAGGCATTGATTTAAGCCTACAGTTCATCTGAGAGCAGTTTCCCAAATGCCTGAGCACCCCATGTCATTGTCATGACACATAAAATCAACCACTAGTTGTGTTCTGAGTAGGGATGAATACTGGGACACAAGGAGCCCTTTGACCTACTCTGACTTACTATTTATATGTCCACTAGAAAAGTTAGAAAGGATTGCAGTTAAAAGATTTACTTTGCTGGGCACTGGTGGCTCATACCTGTAATCCTGGCTACTCAGGAGGCTGAGATCTGAGGATTGTGGTTCAAAGCCAGCCTGGGCAGAAAAGGTCATAAAACTCTCATAAGACTTTTATCTCCATTTAACCACCAGAAAATCAGAAGTGAAGCTGTGGTTCAAGCGGTAAAGTGCTCACCTTGAGCTGAAGAGCTCAGGAACAGCACCCAGGCCCCATAGTTCAAGCTCCATGAACAACCAAAAAAAATAAAAAAGGAGTGGAGAATGCTAGACTTGAGCAAAAGAGCTCAGAGACAGGTCTCATGCTCTGAGTTCAAGCCCCATGATCAACAACAACAGCAAAATGATTTTACTTTAAATTGTTTAATTTAGGGGCTGGGTGTGGTGGGGGTGAATGTCTTTGTCAGCTTACACAGTCTTGTCTCCAAGCATATTTATTGGGATTCTGACTTGCTCTTCTTTTCTTTGTCTTTGTTTTTTAAGACACTACAGGGAAACGTGTGAACAAGCTTGTTGTGACCCTTGCAGGAAACTATTTATCGTGGTGGTTCCTTTCATGATCCTTTTTACTCCCAGGAGAAAAAAGCAGAGTGTGGAGGTGGGCAGATAGGTCAGATACAACTGAGGATTGGCAAGGATTTTAAAAATATTCTATTTAAAGTAGCCCAGCCTCACCTAGGGGCAGAATACACCCCTATATCCAGGCTGGCATCCTGGCCAGGGCCTCATGTTTGGGCAGTCATGGATGGAGCACATCCACTTTAGATGTACAGTCAGCTCTGAAATTGCTTGTTTTAGGAAGCTGTTAAAAGAGAAATGTGAAACATCATGAGTGTCATGAGTAGCTTTGGTGATAGCTTAGTGGCAGAGGGGCAAAAAAGGCAGGTGGGACTGAGAGGCACAGGGATGTAAGTGTAGTACATTCCTTTTTAGAGGCTTTGTGTCAGTGGATGTCCCCTTTCCCCCATCGGGTCCCTCAAAGTCCACATAGCTCATGCTAAGAAGGTTCTCCTCTATGTGATGAGATCCCAGAAGATAAGTGCCAAATATTGCTATAGCAGCAATCAAATCTACAAACAACCCCTCTCTCAGCATGAGAAGCCCATATTGAAGGAGATAGACAATAATGAGCCCAGAAATCACCTGTCCCAGACAACTGATGGCTTTCCTCAGGCCAGCACCATGTTTTCCTGCCTTGCATTCTCAGCCCACTGTGCTGCCTATTGCTTTGGAAATATGGATGAGTTGGCAGCTCTTCAAAAAATTCCAATAAGGCCTGTTTATTCTGTGGGAATATGGGCAGATGGTATTACTGCAAATGCCCTGAAACCAAGAGAACTTGGGTTTCCTCCTGAAGGAAAAACCCCATCTTCAGGTCTTAGTTCAACTAGAACATTGTTGATTCCAAGATCAAGTAATAGTAAGGCTGTCTAGTTTGGTCAGCCTAGACTTCAGATGAGAAAAAAATGGAAGTCCTTTTGTCATATCAGAAACCCACAGCAACTGAACACGAATTTTATCTCTGCAGAATACTCTTCTAAACCTTTACCTCCTAGCATCATCTAGTCCCCAGTAAATATATTCCTAAAAAAATGTCTGTAAATAAATATAGCACATTTCAAGCTATACAAAATCTGTTTCTAAACATTTGGGGAGGAGTTGTTCTAGAATTTTGAAGCATAGCCTCACTCTTGCTAGCAGGAACCTTAACTTGAGCCACACCCTCAGTCCTTTTTACTTGAGTTCTTTTTCAGAAAGGATTCTGTGCTTTTTGTACAAGTTGACTTGGGGTTGCAATCCTTCCATCTCCACCTACCAGGTAGCCGGTGAAAGGCATCTGCCACCACTCCCATCCCCACTTCTTCCATTTTGATAGTGTGATACTGTTGTTTCCTGTGGTTTGGAGGTACTTACACAATTTCTAACTATGAAAATCATTGATGTTTTCAAATATCTGCAGCTAAGATTTCAGCAGAAGGCTGGGAAGTTGACTCAATGGTAGAGTGTTTGCCTTGCATACATGAAGCCTTGGGTTCAATTCCTCAGCACCACATAAGCAGAAAAAAGCCAGAAGTGACGCTGTGGCTCAAGTGGTAGGGTGCTAGCCTTGAGCTGAAGAGCTGAGGGACAGCGCCTAGGCTCAGAGTTCAGCCCCCATGATTGAAAAAAAAAAAAAAAAAAGATTTCAGTAGACACTTAAGCTTGGGTTCTCACATGGCTGAGCCTCTTCCCTGGGACCCTTGGGGAGCCAGGCTGTAGGAGTTATGAAGCTCATCGTGACCATCAGTCCATCAAGGCTTGTTCCTGTTACTGGCTTCTCCTTTGAGACCCATCCTTTGGTGACCAGGAGTTGTGTCCCACTGGTCAAGGCTGTAGCTAGAATCTTGGGGTGATTTCGTAGGCACTGTGTCTTCCACACTTGTCCACTGTGATGCAGGCAGACTGTTTACTAGTCAGGAAGAGCACAGCAGAGGGCCATGGACAAGGGAGGGACTGTCAGTGCCATGGACATTGGCAGAATGGCTTAAAAGAGGGCTTTGCTATAACAGCTTCTGCCAGATCCAGAAGTCACCACCTGAAGCCACAGATCTGTTTCCTGTGTTTAAGCGAGGCAAGGACAGTGGGTTGGCAGATGTGTACCCCTTCTACCTGATGGCTGAGGCCATCTCAGTGGGCCTTTAATATACCAGAGGAGGCAGTATGTGCTCCTTCGTGTATCTGTGTGTGCTGTGCGCGTGCCTGTGTGGGGGAGGGGTTAGCAGGCAGGGTGTTTAAATGCTTTGTTGCATTATGTTAATTCCTCAGCAGTGCAATCAAATTCATGTCGTAATTAAAGCTGTCAGTTGGAAGGCAAGCCAGTCGCCACGAAAGCACAGCATAACAAATGAAGTGAAATGATTCTGCGTGTAGCTATACAATGCTTCGCCAGGCATGAAATTAAATAAGTAATTTGATGTTGACATCAGAAATTGAAATGGTACCCACTGTTCCCTCATTCAGACCTGCATAAACAATAGCCAGAACAAATATGCACAACAAAGCCCTCTTCTCTTCCCAGCTCCCCAGTAATGTACAATATATATGCAAAGCGAGCCGAGCAGAGCTCTCCCACCCAAAGGATGCCTGTTTCTTTGGTATATAATGAGATGATGTGTATCTGGGGCGAGGGTGGACACTTCTCCTTCTGGGAAAGCAACACAGACATGTCCGAGTAATTCGTTCTGAGACAGGCTGACTTCCAGGTCAGTGGGCACCTGGCTAAGCTCTGCCTTCCCTTGCACTCCAGAGCACCATGGGTGTGGGAGGCAGGGACAGTGTTTTGAGGAGCTGTCTCCATGGCTTCCTGTTGCTGCTGGGCTCAGCTCAGGGCTGAGGCAGTGGCATGGCAGAGCCAAGCCCACTGTGGAGGTTGCCCATGTGTATTCTAGAATGCCAGAGCAGAAACCATGCACTCCCCTTCTCCTCTGGTCACATCAAGAGGAATCACACCCACTGGGCTTCTGAAGATGTTGGACCCCCTGAGCCTCCCTCCACCCCAACCATCCGTTCATGCATTGATACAGTAACTCAACAAATGCCTCCTAAGTGCACTTGAGGAAGCGGCACTGAATCCACTAATTGGCCCTCCACCTCAGGGCCAGGACATGTCACATAGTCCCTGGGGGTATATCACCCTACCCTAGGCTGCTCAGACCACAGGCCTGGCTGGTGCACCCATGCATGGCTGAGACCTGGCCCTGTTCCCTCCTCCCACTTACTTCTTGCTTCTCTTCATCACAAAATGTTGCTAAGAGTGAGCAAACTCTAAGGAGAGCTTCCAGGGGAGGGAGGGTGAGTAGCCATGGTGCAGAGCACTGCACTCATCGGGCTTCTTGCCCACATCAGCAATCCCCCATGCTCCTCTGCATTCACGGCATGGTGACTGATCTCTCCACGCACCGGGTGTCAGTGCCATGGCGGCCTGAATTGGTCCTTCTTGGGACCAGCTTTCCACTGCTTCCCTTGCCTGCGCGCTCCTTCTGTTTTAGTCTAATTGTGTTTACAAAATGTCTCATTTTTTAGAAGCGCTGAGTGTGTGCTGATGGGGGCCCATGGGGAGCGTTGGCAAGTAGGTCATCCCGGGAAAAGTCATCCAAGCCCACTGGGCTTTTTATTTGCAAGCCAGTCTAGGCTTTTCCTCTTGCCTGCCCCTTTGTGGCCACAAAGCTGAGTAGCTGGAGACCAGGGCATTGAATGTCAGCAAGTCAGGGAGGCAGGCTGATGCATGTCTGTTTAGTCTCAGTGCAGGGCGAAATGCCATCATTAATTCATTACCCAGCTGCCTGTCAAATAAATTGGCAATTACGTCCACCACGGAAGCTTGGAATTCAGTAAATAGCACGTTAGCATTTCGGAGTTGTTGAGAGATGTAAAGGGGAAAATTAAGCCGCACGGTGTCTGTGTCGGTGGCAGATGACAAGGGGCAGCCCTGCCTGGCTGGGGAAGGGAGGTAGTGATGAGAAGCTGGCAAGGGCTGGTAATGAGCTGTGTGGGTTGGAACGTGTTAAAAAAAACTGCTGCTGATTTTCCACTTTGTCTGTGTGCTTTATTACAGAGCTCGGCTCCTTCCAGCTTGGGGACAGGCTACTTCGTAAGTCCATCTCCACTACCACATATGCGCCTTGCCTTGGCATTGATTCACTTCCCTAATGAGTGCTCATTAGATGTGCACAGCGTCTAAGCAGGCCTCCGTCCTGAGGAGCACGCCATTTCCACCCTTTCCCGGAGACGTGCTGTGTTCTGAGCAGGTCCTACCCGCTGGGCCTGGGGATCCTGAGCCTGGCAGGCCTGCCTGGGGCCCAGCATGGGGCCTTGGTCCTATGCCCGGCCATGTGAGGGCACGGGAAGCCTGGTTCTCATGTCCCCCAGGCTGCATAAGGGCATTCATGAACATTGCCAGGAGAACAAGGGGTGGAGAGTGTGCGGGGAGGCCCGGTTCAGGAGATGGGTCCTCAGATGTACTGTGCTGCTGCTTCCCTGCACATTCTGCAGAGGTGACCTCTTGGGCTTTCTCCCAGCTAGCATCAGCCCTTTCTCTCAGCAAGTATAGGCATTTTGCAAATATAAGCATTTTATTTTATTTCTGGACCTTATTCTTTGCCTCTTGGGAGAGGGGAGGGTGCAGATGGGAAGATGTTTTGGGGATTACTGTACTATTCTTCACTATTCTTCATTCATAGACAGAAATTGTCATTTTGTTACTTTTTATTTTTATTTTTTTTTACCAAAATTACCCTTTTGGATTTAGTAATCCTTTTCAAGATTGCAAAAGAGAGTACTATTTATGCCACAGGAAAACATGCCAAAGTAAAAGTGTAATCGTGGTGCCAACATAGAACCCCAATCTGTGTTTCCAATACTGTAATGGATGCTTAGCATATCCTGAGAACAAAAGTGAAAACCTAAAGCTAAAGTGGACTACAATTCCTGATTATGTTTGGTTGCCTTTGTCTTTTCCCAACATGCTGGCTGTTCTGACCCTATGCTCACACATCTCTCAATACATCTCAATACACATCTCTCATTTCCACTGAGAGCGCAGATAATGGCATTCTTTCATTGAAGAGTGTCCCCAGCTTGGCAGAAGTGGACTATTCTAGATGTAGATTGTTTTGGTCTTCATATCTAATGTAAGGAGAAAGGGAGAAGGATGAGTGGGGCCTGCCTAATACAGTTAGAATGCTTAGGCTGGCTCCTGCTAAACTGGCTGAATATTCATGCTTCCAGAACATTCCACCTCTTGCTTCAACAGTGTATGAACAGACGCAGTTCCATCTGCCATCTCTTCACACCAGGCTGCATGTGGGTTGAGATGCTGGAATGAAATCTGGAGGTTGTTGGTGTCTGTTCTCTATCCAAAATCTAAACCTCCTCTCTGCTTGCTTTAGCAGAGACAAGGCCATTAGCCTTGATCATTTCAACTTTGAACATTCTAGCATTTCCTATTTGTAGTATATATTGATTGTACAAGGGAGTTTCATTGTGATGTGTCCATCCCTGAGCAGACTTGCAGCTCGGATCCACCATCCCCCTGTCTTCTTAAAACATTTTCAGCAGGGTTCATTTGTTCTGTTCTCGTACGTGCATACCATGTGTATAGCAGCCCCCAGGCATGCTCATTCATCCTCTTTCAGAGCTGTCCCATCCCCCGCTGCTACCCCCCAAAGCCCATTAGACAGTCAGTCATTTTCTTGAGTGTATATTAATTGCACAAATGGCTTTCACTGTGTTACGTTACCTGTGTAGTTATTATACCTCAGACACTTAACTCCTTGTGCCGCCCCACCCCTTCCTTACTTCTTTCTTACTCAACAACATTGGATGACATTCTAGTAATTCTTATTATTGTGTGATCTCTCTCAAAAACTAAAATGATCTCTAGAAACTGAAATCTTCATTTTGCTTTTTTCTCTCTGGTCCTCGGGAAGTGTGTTTTTATTCTCTAATAATACATCCTTCGGAGCAGCGACTCTTTAGTAGAGAATCTAAATACACTTGGGCAACATTAGATAACTGTCAAATCTTCTCCTTCTTTTGGTAAAGTTGCTTTTTGGCTTACTTTTGCTTCTATGAAAACCTGTTGTGTTATTAGCTTACATGAAGAAGATGCACACCAGATGTGTGTTCCATGCTCAGCCAGGAGAAAGCACGCCCTCCTTTAAATGTGTTTCCAATAATGCCATTGTTTTGTTATCAAACGCAAAGCCTTGATGTTGCTTCCTGGCTGGTCAAGAAGCCCTCTTCATCTCCACTCCATTACAACGGTAGTGGCAGCACTTTAATGCTTGATTTCAGGTTCCATGGCACTGGTGAGTTTCACCTTTCTAAGTAGAAATGATGAACACAACTTTTACTAATCTTTTTGCAATGCACTTTTGATTTGAGTCTGTTGTATGACTTTCCTTAATCTGTAAGGAGGACTCCACAAAAGGTAAGTGAAACGAGAGCTCTGCCTTTCTCTCCTGCAGCAACTCTGAAATGTAGATACAGAGCTACTGGTAGGGGACTGAGAGTGTCTGCTATAGGAAAATGAAGTTGCTCAGCCTAGGGTCACTCTGTGACCTGGAAGCGTTTGTGTCATTCTCCCATACCCCAGCACCTCTACGCATTGCAAAATCCTCCCTAGCTTCATTCCCATGCTTCTGTAGAGGTGCTGGTCAACCCAAGTTGCTTACAGCCTGCTTAAAGCATGTGCTGATAAAGCATGTGCCCATAGGAGCCCCTGCATGGAAGAACCCACATGTATGGTGCACATGTACGCTCACACTGAGGCAGAGCCACTAGTGTGCTCTACTTCCTTCCAGACCTTTCTCTGTATCCGTTCTGTGAGCTGGAGGGTTTCAGGAAGACGTTTGGAGATGCCTTTGCACTTGATCTGGTTTTATTTGTTTTTGTCTCCTTGGTTTTATGTTCCAGAGATGTCTGCTAAGGTCTGTCACTTTTCCAGTTGGTTTAAAAGCAGAAGACTTGAGAAATGACAACAGCAGCTAGAGTCAGTATTTATACAAGCATATTGCAAAGCATTCTTAACGTAGACAAAATAGAGAAGGGTTGGAACAAACTTCCCACATTTGGGGGAGATTTTGGAATAATATGGGTGTTATATACACAGAGAGACATACACATATATATTCATTACATACTCAGGCCCAGCTCAGCTCATATTCTAAATATAAATGAAATTATAGACTTGTTGAAATCAATTTGCTTTTTTTTTCTTTTTTGGCACACACACTGAAACTTGTTGGAGTGTGTATAGGATTTTCTTTTTTTAAGACGTTTGTGAACACATTTTCCTTTCAGTTTAAATATTTTTAGGCTGCATTCTCTTCTTAAACATGTATCTGAAGTTTCATTATGAATATTGTATCATCATGAATGTAGGGACAGAATGACCTTTAAGACTAGTAGTGTGGGGCTGGGAAGGTGGCTCAGTGGTAGAGCGCTTGCCTTGCATGCCTGAGGCCCTGGGTTCGATTCCTCAGCACCACATAAGCAAAAAGAAAAAAGCCAGAAGTGGCACCGTGGCTCAAGTGGTAGAGCGCTAGCCTTGAGCGGAATTGCTGAGGGACAGCGCCCAGGCCCAGAGTTCAGGCCCCACGACCGGACCTCCCCCCCCCCAAAAAAAAAGACTAGTAGTGTGACCTTAGGCAGATGATTTGCTGCCTCAGTTTCCTTGTTAGGTAGGTACCCAGTAGAATTGTGACTGCGGAGCAAGGTAAGATACTTAACACAGATAAGCATATAGTAGATAGTAGGTTATGACTTACACTTTTCACTCTGTAGCATGGGATGGAACAAATTTGGTCTGTGCATTTTGTGGTGACAGAGGGTTACTACCAAAACTTGGTGATACTGAACTAGATCATATAATATATACCTCTCAGAGCATCTTATTCTCCACACAGTCTTCCTGTAGCTTCCTCGGGAGCTAGGGATTCTGTGTTTGGTCAGCTTTGACTCATATAAATATGAAGCAACTATGTGGACACAAAGCAAACACAACATTCATCTTGGCAGTTTTCTATGATCATGATGCTCTGGGACAGAGTGCAGCTCCCTCTGCTGCCCTGCCTCACATGCCTTAGAGCCTCCAGCCTCCAAGATGCTGAACAGCTCTCAGGGCTGGGCTGGTGGCTAGGGAAGGCATGATCAGACTAATTAGGTTTTATGAGATTAGAGCACATGGGTTCTGCCCTCTGACACATCTGAAGTCAGCAGAGTAGAAGGACAAGGAGAGGCTGTGCAGGGCTGTTGGTGTGCTGGTCACTGAAAGGGCTGGGCAGGGCCAGCAGTATGTGGGTCATTGGAGGGGTGGGTCAGGGCCAGCAGTGTGCGGGTCACTGGAAGGATGGGCTAGGACGATGTGTCCTCCTGCTGCTCTGGGTGTGTGTCTCAGGACAGCAGCCCTGTGTAACCTGGATCCTATTTCTCTCCAGGTTACACTGGATCCTCCTAGGTGAAGTTTGTGTTCTAGCTGGATCACAGCTAGCATTGGGCATACTTCAGTTACCAGTTTTTACACAAAGCTAGTGTGGGTGACTCATGCCTGTAATCCTAAACTCCAGAGGCTGAGATCGAGAACATCGTAGTATATAGGCAGAAAGGCCTGTGAGACTCCCACCTCCAGTTAACCAGCATAAATACCAAACTGGAAGTGTGGCTTAAGTGGTAGAGTACCAAGAAAGGTGAACACGAAAGGAATGCTCTGAGTTCAAGTCCCAGTGCGAGAACCAAAAAGTCAAAACTCAAAACTCTTCTTATGACCTAATAAAGGTGGTGTTGGTTGTTTCTCAGATCACACCCTCAGACGGGTTGTGTAAGTACTGGTTTCCTGAACCTACTGAGGTGAGGTGGTGACACATTAACCTCAGCCTCTCCAGCTTATACAGGCACAAAGGCAAGGCTCTTGGCGCCTTTATCAGTGTTTTACAGTACGCTTTTGCTATCATTTGTGTAACTCTTAAAACTAGTTTATAATACTTCGTTTAACCATAGTTGCTGCTTTTTACAACTCAGTAGATTTAGATGTTAGCTGCGAAAAGAATGTGTCTCTTTAGAAAGCTGTTTTGATTGTAACACATTCTTGTC